ACGCAGGAGTAATCTAACTCGTAATGGGGTAGGCAGCCCTATATATATACACAATGACGACTGGACTGAGGGCACTGGTGACTTCTTTAACTATTAACCGGCTGTTAAACTGCTTGTTTCGGGTGGCGTGAGCTCCCAGGGTGTCGCCAGGTAGGAAGTGGGGTGACAGGCAGTGGAGAAGGGGGGAGACTGGTAGTACTGTCTAGACGTCTGGAAGTAGTTGTTGTTGTTGTTGCTGCAGTACTTTAATATATAGATGTGGTAATGGGTAGAACAGGTGGTAATGGAGCAGGCCGAATCTCTTCCTAGAGATTTTACCATGACACTACATTCATCCATGTTTTGGTAAGTGCAATAATATCATTTTTTTTCTGTGCAGACAAGAGCGTTTAAATAGTTTATTTTGTTTCTTAGATTTCTACTGTTTGTCTAATACACCTTAAGTGTATTGTTATTTTGAGGCCCTATTCTTTCCCTGATAATTTTGCCAATTTGTTTCACCCACAAACACATACTTTTATTACCTCCTTTGTCCATATCAATTCCCATACCACTATCTACTAACAGTTTATACCCAAACAAACCCCCTTCAACCACAGGTTCCAACAAGTTGGCAACAACAACCCCAGCCATCGATAGATGCACCCCATTCTGAGCTTACATGTCATTTTTTCCATAGAAGTGTTCCCAGTTATCTATGAATGATGTTGCATTTGATTTGCAATATTTGTACAGTCGGCAACTGACACCAAGTGCTCTCGACAACCATTCATTTCCAACTCCCATTTAGGGAAAAATGCCACATATGATCGGGATTCCTCCCTTGCTCTAAACCAATTATATGGTTGTCTTAAACCTCTGAATCGGTGTATCACTCCTAACTCGTCCACCATCATTTCCACCAGTACTGAGACAAATAATGTGTTTGTTCCCATTTCCAGCCATAATATCATTCATGTTGTTAACAATATCCTCAATTCCAGCTCCCAGATAGCAAACCCTTAACCTGTTCCCTCTATCTCTGGCACAAAAAGTTCTGTACAAATACGTCACCTGTGAATCCTCCCCAACCAAAATTCGCATAGGTACTTCCCTTACTTTCTGAGCACCTTGAGGTACCTGCGCTCCTTTCGTTGCCTTCCCTATCGAGCGAACCGCACGCTCCCTACAGCAATCAACTTTCAACACTGCGAATGAGTTAGAAGTCCTTAGGACATCTGTAGGCGTCCTTGTCAGTCTTCTTAAGACCTGTCTACGACATTCCAAGATGAAGACTTTCTACTGCTGCTCTTCCCCTTTGCACCCTCTTGACCTTGTTTTATATGTTTTAGCACCTTCATCTGTCGTAGCTCCTTCATCTGTCGTAGTTCCTTCATCTGTTGAAGCTCCTTCATCTGTCGTAGCTCCTTCATCTGTTGTAGCTCCTTCATCTGTCGTAGTTCCTTCATCTGTCGCAGCTCCTTCATCTATCGTAGTTCCTTCATCTGTCGTAGCTCCTCCCGCAGGGAATCCAACTCTGCCCTCAGAGCTCCACATTGCTCCCTCACTAGCACCAATTCACTCACTACAACTTCCATTTTCAGTATCAAGACAATTGGAGCCCAAGTTAACACACCCTTCCACTGAGACTGACTACGCCTGACATCACCTATACATAGTAATGTGGCTATATCCTGAAGTGTTCATAGTATACATAGTGATGTGGCTGTATCCTGAAGTGTTCAGTCATAGTATACATATTGATGTGGGTGTATTCTGAAGTGTACAGCCAAAGTATACATAGTGGTTTGGGTGTGTCCTAAAGTGTACGGTCGTAGTATACACAGTGATGTGTATACCCTACGGACCAAGGATCTCGCATCACATTGGAACAAAGTTGTACTGGTGATCTATTTCCCTGTACTTGTTTGAATTATTTGTGTGTGTGTGTGGCCTCAGCTCCTGTTTGACTGACAGAGAGGTTGATGTATATGGCTGCCAAGGTGGGTTCTCAAGTATAGTCCTACGCCAATTGTCTGCAATTTCTCCTTGGGTGTAGTGTGATTCTATTTGGTCACCAACAAAGACAGCGAAGTTATGGTACATTAGATTACAAGGCTCTCTGCTGGACACTAAGCAGAGGCAAGGCTCCTCTTAATAATGTCATTGAGTTCGTCATGTCCTGAGTGCTAACACCCCTGATTGTGTACAATACGGGCCCTCCAATCCACATTCATCTGCATCTGCCTTACTCCAAATTCATTTATAAACTGTGTTGATTGGGGCAGCAAGATGGAAGGGACACTCTCGGGCATAGTGTACCTTCACGCCACAGTTGAAACATGGTCTTACTAAGGGTTGACCTCCGCCAGTCACCTAGACCGCTCTTCTCTGCCACGTCGTGCTCTGGGTCCTCGCAGAACTCCCAGCACTGTACTTTTTGGCTGAGCTTCCTGTACTATGACTCGCACCAGTGTTGCTACTCTGAGGCTTCTTGGGAGGCTCTCGAATGCATAACTGGGCTTGGGACCTGCTAATTGTGTGGCATCAGGTCCATAGCCACCCTTAACTTTCCCACGGCTCTTCCACGGGCGGTCGTCGTCCTCGTGGGTGGGTCGCTTAGCCTGGCTCTCTCTCCAAGAGTGAAACGCCTCTACCAGCATGTCCGCCGCTGGCCATAAGTGTGGGAAATTTTACCCACGATATCTATATTATCATCTAAGAAATGTATTATCAAAATCATATCTAAATCATATCAAAATCATATCAAAATCATATCAGAATCATATCAGTATCATAGCAGAATCACTATAGATTCATTATACTTCTTGTTCCTAGATGACAATGCCACTATGATCACGTACACCATAGGGGCCCTATAGATGCCTACGTGACTTTGTGCATGATCTCTCAAGGATCCAGAAGCCTCTAGAAGGATTCTTAATTAAAAAACTATTGGAACGAATTAATTCGACATCCGGTAGGGATTATATCGAATTCTTAATAAGAATCAGTAGTACTATCAAGTACTACTTATAATCTTATAATAAGGCGTTCCGCGAGCGCTATGTCATGGGTTCGTATCCTGGCCGGGGAGGATTTACTGGGCGCAATTCCTTAACTGTAGCCTCTGTTGAACGCAACAGTAAAATGTGTACTTGGATGAAAAAACGATTCTTCGCGGCAGGAGATCGTTTTCCAGGGACCTGCCCGAAACGCTACGCGTACTAGTGGCTGTACAAGAATGTAACAACTCTTGTACGCCAGCTGAGCACCATACTCCCCCACCTCCCCCCAAGGCACACCACGAAGGGGAGACACACTCCGAGCCCGCCGCGAACGCTTCAAGACAGGTCGCACCACACCATGCCCAGCAGGCCCCTCCGCAGGCACGGCCACCATCTTTACATCCACACAGGCCACACCCGCACCGTCCGAAGAGTCCACAGAGGCCACATCACCCACACTGTCCACATCATCCAGGGAAACAGCCTCAGAACACCGACGTGCACGCTTCTGCAAAGGGATGGAAAGAGCAGAACTACAGTCGTTAACACACACAGGCACGGCAGGCACCTCACCTTGCCGAAGCACCCCCTCCAAAACAGCAGAACCCGCGTCCCCGGGAGCCGTTACCACATCCACAGGCGGGGGCGGGACATGAACCTCCACCGGGACATCCTGCACTACACGCAGCGCAGGCGACGCCCCGTCACCCTCACACACCGGCTCAACAACCCCAGGGGCCACAGCAGTCACCTGACGTGTCGCACGGGCCAGAGAACTCGCCCCAACAGGCGGAGCAGCAGATAGGCAGTCAGGCGCCTCAGGCACAGCACCCACACCGTCCGAACGCAACAGGGGCGGAAAATCCTCCGCACGAAGAACATGCACCCGACCAGTTGCTCCCACGTCGCACGCTGCAGCCAGATGACCTTCGTGACCACACCGATAACAGGTGCGCGGTTGACCCCGATACAGGCAGCGGAGCGTGTAACCCAACACGGACATCGACGACGGTACACTACACTTCAGCGACATTGTCAGGGTGCGGGAGCCGTCAAGCATACCAACACAGTGCCCGGCAACGACCTTATTCCATCGAACACTTAACACAGCCCCAAACCGTTCGAAACAGGAGGTTAAAAAGTCGTCCTGAAATTCGAAGGGGGCACCATGTACCGTCACAGACGTCAAGGTGACACCGAGATTCACTACCTTAACGGAGCCAGCAGTATCAGGGAGAGGGTGAACACGCCCCTCACACCGCTCAAGAAACGCCTGAAAGGCAGCCTGGAAGCGGAACTTGACCACAGCACGGTGGCCCTGAAGCAGCTGGATGCCCACCAGGTCCGACAGCTCCACATGCAGCACGTCCACCAGGGCGACACCAACCAATGGATGGTCCACCGGCACCGTAAACGCCAGACCAGCTGACAGCGTTCTCGTCATTGGAGGGCGAGACGTCCCCATGGCTAAGCAAACGTCACCCTGTCAGTGGCAAACCACCACCAGCAGGGCAAACAAGCGATCAACCAACGTAAACACTAGCCAGAAGCGGAGAGACCTCAGGAACGTCCGACCTGGCCGGCGGTCACCACGCAACTCGGGCGGCCTTCTGAAGCGTTGCGTGTCATTTCAATTTCAATTTCATTGCTCTCAGACTGCTCATGGACAATCCAAGGTTATACTCAATTTCTCCTTTAAATGCAGATTCTTTGGCTAACTCATCATCGACACACAGCACCGCTCCTGTGCCAGGTAAGTCCACAACGGGCTTACCATAGCCCGTGCTACTTGGAACTTGTTCCGAGTAGCTGAATCTATAACAACAACAACAGCATCTAACTCATCAGTTCTATCATGGGAAACGTACAAATGTTGTGTCCGAAATGGTAAAAAATATATGTGTGTGCAATCTGGCATAAGTACTAAGTGTCTTGTACCCAGACCGGTAGAGCATCAAAGAAAACGTGAGGTAAAGCTGCTGAGGAACTAACCGACTAACAACAGTGTGTTCACAATACTCAGGCGCCAACCCTGGAATCTTGTTACTGTGCTCTCGTGCTGCCCCCAGCTGCTTTTCTGTCTCTGAAGCTGAGTCGACGTCCTTTTGACTAGTTGCTGAGTGGGTCCCGACGTCTTCTTCCACCGGACTCTGCTGGATGGTGGGGAGTTTCCGCTTATGCAGTCCTCTTCCCCCAAACTTTACCACACCTGCCATTTATGCTTACGCGGAAGGTTTGGTCCCTTATCAATAACTAACGTGTTTTGATGGTTTACTCTACATAGATCAAAGAGGTGAGTAATGTCCTAGCGGTACAGTTGGTAATGGCTTGAGTAAAGTACTAAGTATACTGCCCGAAACGCTGCGCGTGCTAGTGGCTTTACAAGACTGTAATTACCATATTTGTATCCTCACATTCCTTATGTACGTTCTTGTATATGCATAAATAAATAAATAAATAAATAAATAAATAAATAAATACTGGTGTTCCTAGGCGGCGTTGATGTATAAGGTCGAGATCTGTACACCTTCACAGTTTTCTGAAGAAAATTGTTGCCTAAGAACAGAAACTAATTATGCCTTGCATCAGAAGTTTAAGACAAAGTTATTGATCTTTGGACAGTTATGAAACTTGCTGATATTCTTACTTTGGGGGGATTAAAAAAATAGTAATATTATGTTTTTTGTAACTGATATGATGTGAATTGACAGATAAGATTTTGTTTGATAAAATTATACTGGAACTAATTTTGCACATGCAAACCCTATGGATATTATAAAGAAAAACTAGCAGTGTTTGAAGTTTCAGTGTGCTCAGTGTCCAGATACCAAGACTCAAATTTTGCTATAATGTTCCTATTAATAATCTTGCTTTTATTTGTTAGCTTAAGGATCTGCCCAAAATGCAATGCTTGTTAGTGACTTTGCAAGAATGTAAGAACATGAATATTATGTACTCTCACAACCCAATATACCTTTGTGTATATAAATAAATAAATAATATAAGAGGCTGGTCTACAGATAAATGACAATTTTACCAATTTCTCACATACATTACAACAGAATAAACATGTAGAATACAACCGTATCATATTACCCACCATATCATACCATCGCAGAGCAAAAACATAATGTACATGGCCATCAAATTAAACCCAGTAAAAGGGGCCAATTCTGTAAGTAATTCTTATTAATTCTAATTCTAAGTAATTCAAAAGTAATTCTGTGCCAATTCACAAACATAAGATTTTTCAGCACTACCATCTCAGATACAGTATTCATGAAATTTGGTAGGATAGTAGAAGACTTGAAGTAACTTGCGCTCACTGATGCATGATATTCATGCAGCAGGGATGCCAATGGGATTTATTTTTTTGCTTACGTGCTCCACAATAAACAAAAAATCATAACTTTGCTACTTATTGAGGTAGACCCTTCATATTGTGACTTTTTGAAGCTGCGGTGGCATTGTTTTCATTAAAAATAGTTTTGTAATAAATATTGATTTTTTTCAAGATCACAAGATGATAAATTTCACATGATAACATTTCACATCAGATCACATAAAATGATAAATATTTGACCATTTGGTTGAAGTGATCAACACCTTTCATATTGTTATTGTAGTCACAGATTGCCTTTGGTTTGTTCACAGTCTGGATACAGGGGAGACACCAGCTGTACTTAAATCTGCAGATATAGCTCCTCTGCACAAAGGGGGTAATAAAGCCTTGGCAAAAAATTATAGACCAGTTGCACTAACATCACACATAATAAAAGTGTTTGAAACAGTGATTAGGAATCAAATTTCTAGTTTTATGGAAAATAATGAGCTACACAATCCAGGACAACATGGATTTAGAGATCGGGCAGATCCTGTCTATCACAGTTACTCAACCACTATGACAAAATCACAGAAGCTCTAGAAGAAAAGCTAAATGCAGATGTTGTATACACAGACTTTGCAAAGGCGTTCGACAAATGTGACCATGGGGTGATAGCACACAAAATGAGATCAATGGGAATAACTGGTATAGTAGGACGCTGGATACTCAATTTCCTGTCGAATAGAACACAAGAGTAACAGTCAATCAAATAAAATGAAGTTCAAGCGCAGTTAAAAGCTCTGTACCTCAAGGTACAGTCCTTGCACCACTACTATTCCTTATTCTCACATCGGATATAGACAAAAATACACGTCACAGCTTCGTGTCATCCTTTACAGATGACACAAAAATCAGCATGAAAATTGCCTCTGCTGAAGACATTGAAAAATTACAAGCAGATATCAACAAAGTTTTCGATTGGGCAGCAGAAAATAACATGATGTTTAACAGTAATAAATTTCAAGTACTCAGGTACAGCAAAAAGGAGGATCTGAAACATGATACAGGGTACAAAACACAATCGAATCTGCCCATAGTAGGAAAACAGCATGTCAAGGGTTTGGGAATAATGATGTCCGACGATCTAACGTTTAGGGAGCATAACTAAGGAAATATTGCGTCAACCAGAAAAATGATAGGATGGATAACGAGAACTTTCAAATCCAGGGATCTCATCACAATGGTTGTACTCTTCAAGTCACTTGTGTTGTCCTGTCTCAAATACTGCTCAGTACTCACTTCCCCCTTCAGAGCAGGAGAGATTACTGAAATAGAGGGAATACAGAGAAAATATACAGTACCCATAGGTGAGATAAAACACCTAAATTATTGGGATCATCTCAAAGCTCTCCAAATGTACTCTTTAGAAAGGAGATGAGAGAGATACCAAATAATATACACATGGAAAATACTGGAGGGGCCAGGTCCCAAATCTGCACAGTAAGATAACAACGTTCTGGAGTGAACGATATGGAAGAAAATGCAGGATTGAACCAGTGAAGAGCAGAGGTGCCATAGGCACAATCAGAGAACACTGTATAAACATCAGAGGTATGCGTTTTTCAACGTCCTCCCAGCGACTATAAGAAATATTGCCGGAACAACTGTGGACATCTTCAAGAGAAAACTGGACTGTTTTCCAAGAGAAGTTCCAGATCAGCCGGGCTGTGATGGGTATGTGGGCCTGCGGGCCGCTCCAAGCAACAGCCTGGTGGACCAAGCTCTCACAAGTCGAGCCTGGCCTCGGGCCGGGCTTGGGGAGTAGAAGAACTCCCAGAACCCCATCAAGCAGGTATCAAGCAGGTAACAGTGACCTGTTGCAATAGAATTTTGCGTATCTGCATTGTGGCAAGTTGTGATGAGTAAAACAACTCGCTTATTGTTGACATTCAATACAGGCATACCTCAGAATAAGAGTTTAATCCGTTCCTGGAGACGCCTCGCCTTCCGAAAACTCGCATTCCGAAGTTAATTTCCCCATAAGAAATAAAGGGAAATGAATTAATCCGTTCCTGACTACCCCAAAAACCCCACATCAAACTAAATTTTTATACCTAATTTACCTAATTCATCTAAATAAACCTACAAAACTGTGTTCCAGTTATTACTTACCTTGCTGTCGAGTGCTGTAGGCGTATGGAAGATGGTGAGGAGGGGGGAGGAGGAGAGGAGTTACTGTTTGGAAGGGGAGTCCCCTTCCATAATCACATCACATAACCCCATGCCTTGTAACACTATGGATACCACTTCTCTTTCTAAATTTTTCAAACCAGCCCCTGCTTGCCTTAAACTCTTTCTTATCTGCATCACTCGTTGCAGGGGTATTCTTTAGAAGGTCTTCGTGCAACACCCTGGCTTTCTCACAAATAATGGCCTCCGAAACACTATCACCCCTCAACTCCTTGTCGTGTATCCAAATTAATAACAACTTTTCCACTTCAAGTATTTGTGGTCTTTGTGCCGTTAATGTTCTTACTCCTTTTGCCACTTTAGCACCCATAATCTTATTTTTCTTAAGTATAGTGCATATTGTTGATGTGGCTTTGTTGTACTGCCTACAAAGTTCAACAACACGTGTACCGTTCTCATGCTTCCGAATGATCTCTTGTTTCTCCTCTATTGTCATCCTCACATGAGCTTTCTGGCCTTTATCCTTACCACTGGCTTTCTTGGGACCCATGGTGAGATATATAATAACAAATTGTATAGACAAATCACCAAAAATCCAACAAAACACTGAAAATCCGCGAGAAGAATTGATGTGGGGGTAGTCACTGAGCGCGAGACAATAATAAACTGAGGGGCGGAGGGGCGACGAACGCGCTAGGTCGGCTGTACGCGTATCAACAAACTCGCGTCCAAACTCGCCTCCCGAAGTAACCCTCGCCTTCTGAGACAAATTTTTGGAGTAAATACACCTCGCCTTCCGAAAACCTCGCATACAGGGACAATCGCATTCCGAGGTACCACTGTATATAAAAAAGCATATTGCTATTTTTTTATAAAAAATGGTATACTGTTAACACTTTGCCAGGCCTGTTGAGCCATCCACAGCTTGTTAGGTCCAAGCTGCACACCGCAAGGTAGGTGTGCAACTACCTTGCGACTCGTGCTAAGTCTCATTTTTGTTGATAAATGCGACTCGGCTTACGACTTTGCTTAGACTAGCGACTTTGTTGTTACATGTTTGGGTCGACCAAGCGCGTGATTCCTGGTAGCTTGGGCGACCCCACCTCAGTTTACCAGAGCGGCCCTCTTAATGATGATCGTGCTTGTAAATAATTTAATTGTTTTTGAGCTTTTTTGTTTTTGAACATAAAAGTAATTACTATATATCACGCCATGGGTCCCCAAAAAGTCGGTGGTAAGGTTCAACCTAAGAAAATAGTTGTGAGTAGAGGCAGTAGAGGATGTCCCTTCCTCATTAACCACTGTGCTGCTTAGGCTCCAAATATGGCACTCCCCTGTGCACAGGAAATAAATTCTTGGCATTTTTTTTTTTTTTTTTAATTTTAAATACCCTTCCCTGATCACAGATATGAAAAAAAAAATCAAAATTGTACTTACTTTGGCCGCACTGGGGTCTGAAAAATGGCGTGTGACGTCACGATTTGGTGGTCACCCGTGGCTTAGACTCCTGGGGGCAGTCGCCAGCTTCAACATGCGCGAGTTGCCACAAATAATTTGTTGTTAATTTTTTGCGTACATTTCCAAATACATTTTTGTTTGTTTTTTCTTGCCACTCCTATGTATAATAAACATGTACACAATAGCATGAACACGTACACAATATTATGGCAGTAGAACATTTGTACTGTCCCAAGACACTGTGTTACATACATCACAAATGTGTCCACATATATTGCTCATACTGTATATCCAATGATTCATGTTCATTTATGTGTATT